TAGATGGAGCAATACTGCAGACATGAGGGTGAATTAAGGTGGCTGCCTTTACGAACTGCACTAACAGGGAGTCGGGTCACAGAAGATTAAGAGAGATGGCTTTGCAGTTACTCCTGGGGGAATTCTGTGTCACTGCACATGTGCAGAATTCATGTCCCCCCGCAGATTTCTTTGTTTCCCTTCAGAAAAATGACTTCTGACGGGGAAGCAAAGGGAAGCCACGAGAGCGGTCATATGCCCCTCCCTAGCAGCACAGGCAGGTCGGATCAATCATGACTGAGGGGCGGAGGGGGCAGTCGTGCATGAGAGAGAGACACACACACACTCCATCCCTCTTGCTTGATATTGCAGCACGCTCGGCATGGAGGGGCAGGGTTTCAAGGTGTTTCTTAGGGGTAGGTAGGTTCTGTCCCCTGAGGCAGAACAGAATGTAGCAGCCTGCCTGCTTAATTAATTGTTCCCATTGTCTTTTATGCTCCTGGGGGAATTCACAAACAAGTGTAAAAGTTTTAAGGTTCCTTTACATTGCCAGAGTGGTATAAAGGACAATATGGCTTTATAAGTGCTTATGGTGCTTTAGTGATTAGAACTGGTCTAAATTTTTTGACTGAAAACATTTCTTATCAAAATTTGCTTCTTTCTAGAGATGGTCAGTAGCCAATATAAATTGTGAGTTTAATTCCCCACTTACTCTTCAGTTACCTATGATGCAACACTGAGCACATAGCTGCATATATTTGTTGACTAATCACTCAAAATAAAGGATCATTACTAGCTACATTACTATTAGGCAAGGGGGTTTGGGGATTTTCTCCAGTACTCCCCACTCCCATTCTCCATCCATTGTATTGTACATTAATTAATTACCGAAATAATTGAAATCAGCTGGAGTATATTGCGTTATTTTGACAATTAAAATATGCAGAATTTTGCAGGATTTTAAAATATTGTGTGCAGAAGTGTTAATTTTTTGGCACAGAATTCCCCCAGGAGTATGCAGTGAAGGCACTGACCTGGGACTCAGAAGGTCTAAGTTCAATTCTCACCTCTGCCACAGAATTCATGTGACATTTTGGGTACACAGGCACTTAATCATTTTATACCTCAGTTCCCCCCTTTGTAAAATGGGGATAATACTTTTCTACTTCATCAGCTTAGTGAGGAAAATCCCATTAATATATGTGAGGTGCTCAGATACTACAGTGATGATTGCCATATAAGAATCTAGATAACCCTGGATCTTATCTCAATCACAAGGGCACAAGATGAATTAACAGTGTTAAGAACTTTTGTAATTCCTTCTGAAAAAAATAAGTATGGTAAAGAGGGAAGATTCAGAGGTCAAAATACACTGATCATTCTCAAAACAGAAACCAAACTTTCTCTGTTTCCGACAGTTGGATCCAGATATGGTGGTTTCAGCATGGATCACCTAAACTGAAGCATAATATCAATGATTGTAGCTAAGAGCAACAATATTGACAAGGGTGGTCTTCACATGGGTGAAGGGAGTGCTCCTGAAGAGGAAAATTCAGGCTTGGAGAGTTACCATCCGGTGTTATCCAAGATGACTACCATTTCCCCCTCTACTTAGGACAGGAGAGGTCAATCATAATTGTGGTAAATGTTCGTAAATGCTGACATTTTAATAGTCTCTATAGCACTGCTGAATTGTCCCTGAGAACTTCATATGTTTCAGAGCCCAACAAAACCTGTTCTGAGCTTCCTATACTGGTCTTTTTTCTAAGGTGTTTATGTGAACACATATCTCTGACCTAGTCAGATTTAATGTATGAGTTGGTGAGGTAGGTGAACTAGCTATCCCAAGAGTTTGACATCTGTCAGAATACACTAGCAATTCTGGCTCTCAAGTCCTCTGAAAATGGGGATATCTTATGCATAATATTAAAGAAAGCTTGAGATTGCCCTGGTAAGGATGATTTTGTCCAAGTTCTATGGAAACTGAAGTCTTTCTTTGTAGAAGCAGCAAGAGGGCTCTGGAGTGTACTCTGCATAGGAGCTAACTCTGAGGCAAGAAACCAAAAAGACCCAAGAAAGACAGCATGCTTCTTTGTGGAAGTAATCCCATCTAGCTGAGCTGACCAAACTTTTGTTTTATTTGACTCTCGTAGCAGATTGGAAGGCCATTATTTTACTGCACTGAAATGCATTGCCAGACTGTGCTGTCTCTTGACTCCTGATGAACATCAACTGTAGGGATAAGAATAAATTCTGGACACAATGGTGTTTGAATTAGCAAATTGTCCCAATATTTGATTCCTACTTTTACTCTATTCCTTATCTCTGCTACTATGACCTTAAGAATCTTCATCGAAATTATAGTTTCAATGAAGATTCTTAAGGTCATGGGCAGACCAAAGATCATAGTACTACATTGGAAATGCTGAGATTAGAACAAACCTTAAATATTGGTGATAATAAATACTCAATGAGGCGATGGAAATACTTTGGTGGTTGAATATTAATCACCTGAATTGATGGATAGAAAATAGATTTTAACCACTCTATTCTGTAATGGCTTTTGTTTGCAAATTAGTTCAATCTTTCTAAACCCACAATTGGTCAATTGTTTCCTGACTTCTCTTGGATAATCAAACAGAATACAGTGTTTGCTATCTATCTGATCTTGACAGATATTGCTTCTATGGATAGGAGATTGTGGTTTTAAATTGTGCCTCTCTTTTTCAAGTCTGCAGAGAGGTTTGGAGGGCATCCATTTTCTGGATACAAGATTTAATTTAATAAATGCTAGCACTCGTCTGTCATTACAAGTTACACACAGCCCACCCAACCCAATGATATACATTCCGCTACGAGATGGCAAAGAGATACTGGCATTGACTAGTCAGATTATGTATAGGTACTTCTGTGGAAAACTTTTTGATATTTCCTTTTGTTCTACTAGTGACAAAGATCTGAGAAAATATTCTCCTTTGGACCTCAAGAAAAGGAGACAATCTATGGTATCCATTCTGAAATTCAACATTTTGGTGCCACAAATAGGATTTGGATTTTTTGGAATTGTTAGGACCTTGCTGATAGCTTTGCATGGATTATCCCCAAAAGAGGAAAGGCTTTAAACATCACTATTGGTGTGTACAAAATGATTATAAGGGATTTGAATTCCAGAAATTTAGGCAAACTGCTCTGCAGGCTACCACACTAGAATATATGTTAAATCCTAGAGGTAATTCTGTGATGTGTCATGCAGGAAACTGGAGTCTAAATTACAATGGACTGGGATATTTCTGGCATTCTTAAATCTCACCCCCACATTAGAAAGTTCCCATTGATGCTCTCAGACTCATTACTATTCAAAGTCCTTTTTAGAGCCATATCAATTTTCTTATGCAAAGGATCATTCAGAAAAATATTGCCTTCTAGTGGCAGCAAAATTTTTCTTAGACTTGAAATACTGGTAATAATGGCTTCAATTTGGGAGCCCCAAAATGCCAAAAATTAAAACTCAAAACAAAACCAACACACCTTGAGCAACATTTCTATAAGGGGGTGGGGCTTGCCTCAGATTTAATCTCAGATTTTACTGCAGAGTGAAACTTCAACATGAATATTTTTAAATATAAAAACACGAGTCAAGAATCATAATCAATAGGTCCAATTCTCTGTTTTAAACTTTCTAGTAAGAAAGAAGCTTGAGGAGTATGGAAATCAATTTACAAAATTCATTTGCCTCCCTTACCTATAAATGCTAGTATTCTCGCTTGACGATGCTCTCCTACACACCTAAGCACACTGAAGAACATAGGAGATGATAGGTCATTATAGAGGCTACAGGAGCTTGATGCTCTTAAAGAAAAAGGGACTACAGAGACTGCCAAAGTGAGATAAGGAGGATGGTGCACAAAAAAGATAGTGCAGGCCCTGGAGTGGGATGACTATTAGGGTCAGGGAGGCAGAGCTATTTGAATCTCTGTAAATAGACTCAAAGAACATTCTGAACCCTTTTCTGAAGCTGAAGCTCTAGACATGAAATTAGGCAAGAAGAGTTTAATCCAACAGGCCCACTTAATTTGCTGGCCTGATACCAGATGCAGAAAGTTTTAGATTAGCATACAAACGTGTTTCCCTTCCAGGTCTCAGGCTGTCTCATTACAAGCTATGCAGTGTTCCACCATTATTTGCTTTGCTTTTTAGCTTCCCTCCTCCCACATTTAATTTGAACAACATTTCTTCTCAGAAACTGTTTGTTACAGGCAGAAGAACAAATGAAGAAAATTGTATCCAGAAGGGAATCCATGAGAGGGCTTTGAAAAGTCCTGTTTTACTATTGCTGGCTGTACTAGAATGAAAGGCAATTTATTCACTTACAACTGGTGAATGGTAAGTGCAGAAGTCACCAATTTGTTGTCTTGGACCCGACAAAATTCCACATTTAGGAGCCATGAAAAATTGCACATGAGTGCTACCACATCTCAAGAAAGATGTCACCAATCCTGTACAAAGGACTTGCTTTACCATGAAAGAAAAACTGTGTGAGAGAAGTAATCACATAAAAAGTAGGTATGTATTCTAGTGGATTGGTGAATAAAATTATCTCAATCTCTCTCTTTTACAAGATTAAACAAAAGGCAGCCCTCTAGACCCTAAGCAGAATGAATTTTTAACAAGAAATAGTTATAGTCAAAAAGATAGCTCATATTTTGAATTTCCAGTAAAACACTGAAAGAGGCCTGAAGACCAGATATTAAACCCAGATTACCATAAGCAAAGAAATATACTGTTTTGACATCTTTAATTCCTTTTTAACCATTTGGATTTGGTGAAAGGAATTCTAGGATGTTCAAAATGTATTAAATACTTTTGCTAAAACAACAATAAAGCTCTTGACTTTCAGGAACAGACTCTCTCAACAGTTGCTACAAAAAGTGTTTAAAAAGAAAAAGCATCTGATAAAACAAAGACAATGTGCAAGTAAAATATAACCATCAAAATATAAAGGTCAATAGGAAACTACTTACAAATTTTTAATATCTACGGCCCCACGGAAAGCCTTCCTTGGAATTGCTTGAATTTGATTTTCACTGAGATCACTACAAAAAAAAAAAGATGAAAGGGAACTTAAACGTTGTTGTACATATTTTATCTGTATGAAAGAACTTTTGTAAAGGAATACCATGTAAGAAAAGGATTTCAAAATGAATCCCAATCACTATAATTCAGTCTACCCTCTTTATGAAATACATTTTATTATAGTAACTGACTTGTAATTAAATACAAAGAAGAAATCACATTTCTCATATTACTTGAGCTGCATAACAATAAAAAGTTCCCTTAGAAAATAATATATATTCCATGTAATCTGTGACAAAATAATACCATTTTTAACAGATGTGGTCAAACTGATTTTGCTTAATTTTGAATGCACTTAAACACTGAGTTCAAAAGTTTGATTCAAAATTATTATGTTACATTCTACTGAGAGAAGATTGAAAATGAGAAGAGCAGGGACAGAGAGGGAAACAACCTGCTGAACACAGGAGTTGCCACATTGGATCAGACCCGCGCTCTATCTAGACCTGTATACTGTCCAGGTAGTGGCCAGTACCAGATGCTTCAGAAGAAGGTGTAGTAGACAGTAGGCAGATGCCCTCACATCTTGTCCTGATCTGTAATAATTGGAGAATAAACCCCGAAGAATGAGGTTTAATATCCCTTCAAAAATTTTGTTAGCATTTACTGTATACATTATCTATTTAAATAGCCAACCCCTTTTGGATCTTGCAAAACTCTGCATCAACAACGTCCTGCTGAAATGAATTCTAGAAAACCGGATGCTCAGGCTTCCCATCAGTAGAAAACAGAGTTGAGGAACTCAAACTAGTTTTGTGAACCCCAAAAACAGCATGAGGAATTCACAAAACCTCACACTCTGTAAGGTTTGTCCATCTCCAGATTTTAAACTACTACTTTGTATTCATATAACTTGCTTTGAAAAACAATCCTATATGTATATGTAGCAAGACCTTATCCAATTCATTATCAATTTAAATCTGCTGTCCTTGATGCATCTATTATCAAAGCATATCTAAAAGTAGGCCCTGCTAACTATTACTAAGAGTGTGTGAAAAAGAGATAGAATCTGTGAGCTGTGATTTAATTTTCAAGGCACTTATGTAATTTTGAAATTGGAATATGACTGCATTGGTCTGATGATAAATTCAATGGCAATGAATGAAATAGTAATCTGCAGCAGTAGTTATGGTAACTTGATGTAACAGCCTTCTCTAAGAAATTATATTACAATCATAAACAGTGCATATCTATATTTACATTATCTTTAAGTGACAAATTTTATATGAATAAAATCTTTCACTGCTCCAACATATAAGAAGGGAAGTTAGCAATAACAATTCTTATCTTTCTAAAGTGATAGGATATAATCTATCTGCATGTGATTGCAAGAAGCCATGTCCACATACACATATAGACATCGGTTGCTGATTCTGGGTATTACACTTTCTTCTTTTAGTTTTACATACAATTAAAATATACACATGAATTAAAGTTGAAGATGTGTGTTAAAATTTTGAAATAAAAATTCAGACAAACTATTAACAGCCAAAATCTGTCTCTTGTTAACTGAGATGGGAGTCTCCACACACGTACAGGCACCTACAAATGTCTGGTCATGCAGATCACTCCACCAGCAATACACTCAGCAATTCTGATTTTCTGTGAGAGGGAGAATTGAGAACACAGAATTTTTTTCCACTGGGCCCACACATCAAAGATATCAAATTTCATGTCCTGAGGCTGGGTACCCTAAAGTACCCTGCTGAATATGCTAAATTTGAAGTTTAAGGTGCTGGGTTGCAAAGGCTGCCAAGCCAGCTGATCTGGGCTCTTGCTAATGCCATCCTTTTATGTGATAAGAATAGTTAGGTTGGTAGAACACATTTTCAAGAGGTTCATAAAATGTCAATTAGATGATGTGATTGTTCTTAGAATTATGTCAGTAACAATACTTCCATGTTTTTGGGCTCTTTTTTTAGAATGAAGTTTCAAATCTACTGTCAGAAAATTATTTTATTTTCAACAAAGCAATAAGCGAAGATACTGGGAAAGTTTTCAGTATTTATGTAATGTTTCAAGTTTACTTCTTCTCACACTAAACAACTTTTCTCATCATTGGGATAACCTAACAAAAAATAACTACAAAAGGCTTAACACAAGTGATTAATTTTTAATTCCTCCAAATACTGTTCCTGAGTTTTACACACTGCTGTAAATCAGTTGACTTAAATGGAGGTACTCCTGATGTATACTGAAAATAGTTGGAGGAAAGTCAGGCTCAATGTACAGAAAAACAGACAAGAACTTTTTAATAGGCTAGCTTTAGCTAATCTTATTCAGAACTGAAAAATAAATGCAAATTATAAGCTAAAAGTTTTGAATTAGAATATATTTATGTCTATTAAAACTGATATACATCACACTAAATTAACCAAATAATCATCCTATCATTTCTTTCTAGGACTTTCAATACAGTCTATGGATGGTAACCAGGGGATACGGAAGGCAGACTGCACAATATTTATGCTACAACCATTTTTGTTTGCTTTTGTAAGTAGCATCTACATTCTGAATAAAGAAAGCCAGTGTCCATCACCTATTGGTCAACTTCTCCCACAAGCATCTTTGTGCTTTCTTCTATGCCATCCTTTATGTACGGAATGTCCTTCCTAACTAACTGATAGTGTCACCACCCTGTGCTACTTCAAATCCCTCTTCCAGAGGAATTTCTGTTGTGATGCCTACAGTATTTTGCCAAATAATGGCTAGATGGTTGGCAGGGACTTGCACTATTTATTTCATTTGTGTGTTACACATATCTTATAGTTAACAAAACAAAACCCCTTACTCCAAACTGTCTAGCTTTGATAATAATTAGCATGTATAAAGAAATCTTATTATTATTCCCTTTTAATTCCTTCTCTACTGCTTTTCACTGTATGTTACACCCACTGTTGCATCTATACTGCAAGCTCTTTGGGGCAAGGCTTGTCCTTTTATTCTGTATTTGTATGTAAAGTGGGTTCCTTAATCCAGCAATCAGAAGGAATTCTGGGTGGGGCCAATGGGACTTTACTGCTTCTCTCGTGTGGGTTTACATTACACACTGGTTGCCATTTAAAAGCTAGCATGTACTTAACACTTACCACGTAGCAGCACAAGAAGTAATTGTTCAGACCTTCAGGCCAGGTGTACACTACAGATCTATATCGGTATAACTATGTTGCTCAGGCAGGAGATAAATCCACAGCCTGAGCAACATAGTTATACTGACCTAACCCTGTCTAGACAGTGCTCTTCGACCCAGATACCACCTCTTGGGGAGGTGAATTAACTATACTGATGGAAGAAGCTCTCCCATCAGCATAGGAACATCTCTACTAAAGAGCTACAGGAGTGCAGCGGACAAACCCTTACTTATGGCAGAATAGGAATTAATTGGGGTAACTTTGGTTGACTTTTTAATGTAGACCTCTCCACTTCATACTGGTCTTTACTATTGTTGCTGTGATTGTTTACTAAACAGTAGGTTGCAATCAGTGATGTTTGGGGTATACTGTTGATTAAAAAAAAAACAGGGGTGCTCTGTGTCCTTGACCAATATTTTCCATTCCTGTACTGTTGTACAGCATGTAGTTCTTGTTACAAAGGAGGCAGCATTTTAGTTATTCTGTATGTACTTTAAATAGTTTGTGAAGCCCTTTGGATCCTTTAAAATGAAAGGGGCTTGTGAAGGGTGTACAAATCCCACACTGGAAAGGAAGGGGTTAAAGAGCTGCTTAAAAAGGGGAACAGAGTGGCTCACTGGCAGGCAGATAGACAGTGGAAGTGAGCTGACCTCCACGCTGAGCTCCTGAGTGTCAGAAGTGGTCTTGCTGTCGCAGGCCTGGCCAAGCCTACAAAGCAGGCACCTATGACTCTCTGAAGATCAGAGATTTTATATTTATGTTTTTATTCTTTACTTTACCTTGTGGGAAGAGAGGGGACTGGTAGGAAGTGATCCAGAGAGGCTGCCACATAGCACCTGCGGGTGCAGGATTTAGCTGCCTACCTCTGGGCTCTGCACTGGATCCCAGTGGAGAGGGTGGGCTCCCCTATCAACACCTAAAGAGAGAGAATGCTACAGTGGCTTACCCTGATGTAGGGAACCTAGATGCGGGGACAAGACGCTGAAGACAAAGGGTCTGGGATATGACCTGGGGGAGGAGCCCTGAGGACTCCTGGTTAATCCTGAAGACTCCCCCAATTGTTATACATACCCTGAACAGGACAGACTTGAATACGTGACCTGGCCGGAGGGCAGAATCACTGCAAGGACTGACCACCACAGGGCAGAGGAATATTACGAAAGAGGGGTACCCAGGGGGAAGACAGCCTGCCACATCCCCACCTGACAAGTAGGTGGCGCCAGTGGCGAGCATCCCCCTTCACAGGATTCCATAAGGGTACAATAATACTATAAACTAGTAAAACAAGTGGACATCGTAGGTTCAAAAGTATAAACCAGAACTTAACAGAGAGAGGGGACATTTACCTTTCCCAGATATGAGGATATGAATCTGGGCATTTTACAATAAAGGGACACTCCCACTGAAACAAATTATTCTGCAGCATTATTACAGCCCTATAGTTTACACAAAAGACAGTGCTGTTTCATAGCTACACTAACAATTCAAGGATGAATGAATGATACAAGTGGAGAAATTAACTGAAATAATTTTATACAATTGGAATGAAAATAAGACAGGAAATTGCAATAAACTCTTTGCCACAGGGTGCAATGAAACTATATTCAAACCCTATGATAAGCTCAGATGATGTGTAGCAAATTCTATTTGCCCCAGGAGCCTCTTCCAGCTAATTTTTTCACAGTTCTGTTTGGCAATTTGTAGAGAGGGGATATAATCCAAATTATTAGGGCAATTTCTGAGTTCCATAAGAAGGCTTTGCCCCTTTATAATAGGTATTCAAGTAAGTGCAACTTTGTGGGTTTAATCTATCACACGCACTGGCTTGC